TGGAAGGAAAAAACGATGGCGTAAAAAGGGCCGACAGATGAATTTCACGTTGCAAGGAATCGGTTCATCGTTTACCGAGAACAGAGTGAGCTTTTAATTAGCCCTTTTTCTGCTTATCCTGGGCTTCTGTGTTCCCTTCTTTTTTCCAACCCTTTTCATTTTTTCATGCTTCTCATTTTTGGGCGGATCTCAACTGTATTTTCATTTGAGGTTTTTAATCTTAGCGCCATTTTTTGATAATCAACTGGTGTCTTGACCCCTTGTGAAACTATTACAGAAATTTGTATAGCAAGGCAACAGTATTGTGTCTGATATAAATTTTATCGTAGTATGTGGCTTTGAATTTTTTGATAATATGATGTATGGTTTTTACATCGAAGTAAAAATTTCAATCGAATGGACACTTTCAACGGCTTCGTTTAACGAGTTTCGATAAAAACCGCGAGAAAATGGTGGCCGATTGCGAGTAAAAGTGACGTGGGCGACGAAACCATCTAGAAACGAGCGACACGTTATCATTTGCGAATTTAAAAATATTTTTCGATAACCGATATCAGTGGTCGCATCGGTGAGGTTGCTGTCCGCTGCAGGCAGATATATCGCGACCTCGAAAATATTACTTCCCGTACATCATGTGCGTACGCGCTACCAGATATCGTCGCCCATTATCGATATCGATACTTCCCGAATCCTAATTCTGCTTTCTGACGTGATCTACTTAATGCTCGATGAATTCTAACTTAAAGAAGATTACTATTAAACTTGTTAGAATTTCGTCGCCGTTTTGTATTTATAAAATAGAAGCTTCCAAATGTAATGGAGTAAGTTATAATCTAAATGGAATATCCTTGAAAGATCCACAATTTTTAATTCTGTAAAAAGCTTCCAAATATAACGGAGTAAATTAAGTATAATTGAGTGAGTAATCTAAATGGAATATCCTCAAAAGATCCACAACTATTAATCTTATAAAAAGCTCCCAAATATAGCAGAGTAAATTAAATATAACTGTGTAAGCAAGTGAAGTAGAATATCCTCGAAAAATCCACAACTATTAATCCTATAAAAAGCTCCCAAATATAGCAGAGTAAATTAAATATAACTGAGTAAGCAATCGAAGTAGAATATCCTCGAAAAATCCACAACTATTAATCCTATAAAAAGCTCCCAAATATAGCAGAGGAAATTAAATATAACTGTGTAAGTAATCGAAGTAGAATATCCTCGAAAGATCCACAACTATTAATCCTACAAAAAGCTCCCAAATATAACAGAGGAAATTAAATATAACAGAGTAAGTAATCTAAATAGAATATCCTCGAAAGATCCACAGCTATTAATCCTACAAAAAGCTCCCAAATATAACAGAGGAAATTAAATATAACAGAGTAAGTAATCTAAATAGAATATCCTCGAAGGATCCACAGCTATTAATCCTCCACTCGCATAATCGCAAAGCCAACGAACACGCGAGCAATCGGTAAATTAATTTCAATCGTTGCCCGAGCAAGACGCTCGGACAAGAATCAAATCGATCGATGTTTCTAAATAGAACAACGCCAACGCCAAAAGCCACGAACAAGCAACGACTTGTTAAAATTAATCTAAGACATCGGACCGATCGGCCAACATCAGACTCGTTATCGTGTTATCTCATTCGTTTACCTCGATGCTTCCACGTGGTGCGTATCGAACATCAGAGGTAGAATCAACCACGAACACCACGGAACTATAAATCACTCGGTCATGCACTTCTCGCGATTTTGCACGATCGGAAAACTCGCGAGATCGATTCGGACCGGACATCCGGTCGGTGAGGAATTTTGAGTCGAACTGAACCAGCTTTGATTTTCTCTCGACGTCTGTTCGAAACCCTTGCGATGGCCTTGAATCTCGCAATTTGCTTATTCAAAACGAATATTGCGGGGTGCACGCCGGCCAAGCCTTTTGGGTTGCCCGGCAGTAAATCAAACCGTGAACGGATCTGTGAAATGTTCTGCCTCTTGCCGGGCCTGCAAGAAAGGATTCGACAGGTGAAAAGGCCAGTTTAATTTCACGATTCAGACAATAAGGTAGTTTGTAATTTGGGCAAGTTCTTTAGATACGATTAATTGAAGTTTGGAGGTTAGGTCTTTGAAAAATTCGTGGACTTTCAGAGTTTCTTTTAGGAAAATAATAGGATAAATGTAAACACATTTTTAAAGTTACGTTGTTCATATTTTGATAAGCAAGAAAATTGTTGTTCTATTATATGGAGACAAAATGGCGACTCTGGAGCCATTTAGTGTTTACCTTCGGAGATGATTCTTTCTACAATTTGTAACAGAATTATTTCAACTTTTGACGTAAGAACAAGTGAATGTTTCTGTTATGTACTTGATTGTTGTACTTTATTGCAGAAGTATATATTATATCAAAAATTAAAATGATAATTAAAATATTAATTCTTGCTATTGATGTTAAGAGAATATTTTTTACTACTTCAGATGCCTCAAAAATTAAAATTTAAACATTTTTCGTTTTCTTCTTATAAGATCGTCCTTCTTAAAACACACTAATAACTCATACATCAAAGTACAAGTTGATTATACTTATTTATCGACACACCCGAGTAATGTTCTTTGCCATTTATCTACAGTCCTGTGTTAATCTCCGTCACTTCCGAGAGAACAAAAGAGAAAAAGATGAACGCTATCGAAAGCTATTATCGGCCCAAAATCCTCGTAGAAATCCCGTCATACGAGAAGCGTTGAAATTCCGTCCACATCCGCAAACTTTCGTTCGGTTCCCTCGAAATATCCGCAAAGGCTTCCGAGGGTGTTCGGCATTCATCGTAACTGAAGCAGAGCGAATCGCGCGATCGAGTTTTACAGCGCGCAGCACCCAGGGTGCCGTAAGAGATCTTTCATCTCGGAGTCGGTCCCAAAACTCGACCGACGCGTCCCTGTGAGAAGGGTTCTTACAAGGGGTTATTTCGGAGTTATGCAAACGAACGCGTACCTGGGGCCCAGTTTAAACGGCCGTGGAGCGCAACGAGGTCACCTATTTATCGTTTCCGCCCCGATGTCCGTCAAAGTGTTGACCGATCTGTCGTTGATTTACTGCTCTGCACCCGTTAAAGCTTTGCTCGGGTACATTTCTATGGGAGCGACTGCGCAAGGTCGCGCTCTTGGAGATTCGTCTTGGAGTCGAACGGTAAAGCGATACCGATAGGTGACGAGAAACAGGAGCGAAGGTCCCGAAGGGATTTCGAATCACGAAAAGGTTTGCGTTTCAATGGGGAATGTTTGAGGAAATGGGTTCAGAGTGGTCAGTCGACAATGGACCTAGTACGTGGTTATCTTCCGATTCTTGGAAGGTTTCCAGTCGCAGAGCAATGGGATGTTTAACCCTTAATTGCTATGGTAGGCTCCAAGAGTTTGGACTGATCTCTCTATGACTGTAACGAATGTGAAATATGTTCTTTGCGATCCAAGCCTGGTAAACTATATTTTTAAATGTTTTTACTTAAAGAGTTTAACGTAATGAAATTTTAAATGAAAATTAGACATGGTCAGTTTCAATGATTTTGTCTGAGTCTACCTCCATTGTTCGTTATGTAAAAGTAACACTTCATATGTTTGACGTTTATGAATCTCAATAAATTGTCACATTTAAATAATTTCTGCGATGTATGAGGCCTTTGAATTTATTTTGTCATTATCTAATGATGATATTATGTCTTAATCATATTAATGTCATATTATCATAATCATGTTATTTTGTCATTATTTTTGTCATTATGATCATTAACGAAAAAATTCTATTTATGTGAAGAGAACCCCACTTACAAGAAATTAAGAAGACTTAGTACGATTTCACAGAAAAATCATACAAGAAATATTAATAATAATATTAGCAAAATTTCATAAGTAATAATAATGAATGAATATCTTGTATCTCACAAATGTTACTAACAATATATTTTTGCTAAATAACATACATATTCCTCCCGAAAATCACGTATTTTAATCAGCACCCCAAAACAAAAAGAGAAGATTTGAAGTTCCGACGCAAGTCAAAAAACACGATAGCAGAGAAATAATTCCTAGGCGACGAAAGAAGAAGGTGAATTTATCTCCCCGAGTGAGCTAAAAGGCGCTGGTTAAATCTAAAAACGGGCAAAGCTTATCGACATATTACGAAACCGTGCTTCTTCGATAAAGTTCCCGTAAAAAAGCCTTGTAAAGAAAAAAGACTGAGCTTGTTCAAATATTATCGTCCCTGTGCGATCATATCTCCCATGAAAGTACCGACATAGGGAGGTAGAATAATTAACTCGAAAGTTGAAGATTAATACGATATAAATGATGAAAGCAGAAGAATTTGCCAGCTAACAAGACTTTACACTTTACAGAGAAGAGTCCACTGTCTTATGTTTAAACGTCATTTGTAAGGATCAAGGAATGGGAGCAGATGAGCGTACTTGCGAATAAGCACAATTTGTGGAATCAACTATTCACGGAAAAAGAGTACACTCTAACAATTCAATTTTTGTTCTCCAGTGGTTCTTCACTTCAAATGTATAATCTGCCATACTGATACAGTTAATAGTTTTATTAGGTGGTTCCTTTAAATTTACAATAATTTATTTAATTTCTTATTCACAATCTCAAGCAGTTAATTTTTGTTCTCCAGTGGTTCTTCACTTCAAATGTATAATCTGCCATACTGATACAGTTAATAATTTTATTAGGCAGTTTTTTTAAATTTACAGTATTTCATTTAATTTCTTATTCACAATCTCAAGCAGTTAATACCAATATTCTCAGTTAGGTAAATGAACAAATTTTTAATAATATAAACCTTTCCATATAGACATTCATTCAAACGTAAATTTGCGGATTTGCAGATTAGCGAATTAGCAAATTCAAAACTTTGTAAAAAAGAGTAGCAAACTAGAAATTTGTTGCATAAAAATATTTTGAGATCGATACTTATACAGTCTTTTCTATTCTTAGAAGGAGCAGTTCGTGCAAGCAAAGTCTGCCTATTTTCCTGTCGCCATGTAAAAGGGGTAAGTAAGTTTGCTCGTGTATAATACGTTGTTCATTCGATGCTCATCATAATTGAGTCTTCTCGAACGCTGAACGTCAGAGTTTTGTACGATAGGTGGATCATTAATACAGGATGCTTCGTTTTCAAGCCCTTTCGTATGAAACTAACACGAACGATTTCAGGAGATAACGAGACGATGTAGTCGCGATTATGGCATTATATTAAGCTTGAAATTATAGTGTCCAGACGCATAATTAATAACTTCCTCGCTATTTTTCACGATACCTAAATGGATTCACACGTCTGAAAACGAGTTCTCAACGCATATGTAATTCGATCCATCCTGCGTTTAAAACATTCTTCCATTCGATACTTTGTTACATTTGTCGATCACGACAAACGTACGCATTATGTCCTTTCTCCTCTTTTATTCAAAGCTGACGTTTATAAAAATAGTTCGAGACTTGTGAGCCTTATGAAACTTTTATAAAAATAGTTCAAGACCTATAAGGCTTATAAGACTTTTATAAAAATTGTTCAAGACCTATAAGGTTTATAAGACTTGTATAAAAATAGTTCAAGACTTATAAGGCTTATAAAACTTTTATGAAAATAGTTCAAGACCTATAAGGTTTATAAGACTTTTATAAAAATAGTTCAAGACTTGTAAGACTTATAAGACTTTCATAAAAATAATTCAAGACTTATAAGGTTTATAAGACTTTTATAAAAATAGTTCAAGACCTATAAGGTTTATAAGACCTTCATAAAAATAGTTCAAGACTTGTAAGACCTATAACTTCTATAAAAATAGTTCAAATGCAAGATTGTACTTCTTTCATTAATACAAATACACATCATAGACATGGAACCTTAATTCTCCCATTAAAATATTCTTTCATACAAGTGCGCGAAATATCTACATTTTCAAGCCTTTGCAACTTTCAACAATAAAAAATGCACATATAATATAAACACATAAATAATCACATTCACAACAGTAATTGAATTATACTCTCTTTGAACTTCCCATAACAATAATTAATGTACACATCATGCTCTCGATCTAAAACCCCGTTCTTCATCGTTGTTTACTAAAGAAGACATACACAGTGAAGAATTAGTTTTTGGAGCAACGTGTTTTGGTACCGTTTTAATTTGACGAAGAAGGAACTAATTTTTTTTTAATGAAATATTAATCGCGAGGAGATCGCGTGATGCTCGGGTCTCGGATGGAGGAAGAATTACGTGTTGCGGGTAGACAAATGATTTTCGCGCCGTTACCAGCTACGCCTTCAGCTTAATTCGCGAAGACACGCGAAAGCGCGCCAGACGGTGCATAATTCCAGCGAATCTCGCTGAATATATACATTTTTATCGAGGATACCATGGTGGCGATTCGACTGGAAAACTTTTGCGGCGCCTGACGACGCGATAAAACAACCGGGAGACGAAATTAACGATGCTTCGATAATTTATTCGAAATTAACGTGTTACGTAAAATAACTGATTGACATCGTTCAGTTTGCTTCACTTATTCTATTAATAATATAGCATCTCTAATTTCATAGCTAACTATAAGTTGACATTTAGTACAAGCTTGTATAGCGATCTCTTTTCCCTGAGCTTCACTTGTTGATTTTTAGAGATCAGGTGATTTGAAAATTGGGGATGAAGAACTTGAGTGTATAAGTTTTGAGTGTATGTTTTCGGATTTGAGTGTATAAGTTTTCTAATCCGAATAGAAATGCCATCTTGACAGCCACGAATCGTAATGGTTGAATAAAACAATTTGTATGAGTTAGCAAAGTGATGAATGAAGGTAAATCGTTCAGGTGGGAAGGTGGGAGGTTTCGCAGCGGACGCAACGCCGCGCCTCTAATAATGATAAATGAATAAGTAGCCAAATCGGTCTCTACAAAGGGCTCATTGATTCGGTTTGATCGATGATTCCACAGTCTTTGTGTTTCGTTACCCGATGGAAACCCATCCCCCTTGTTACGGAACACAACATTGTTCATTACCGCATTGACGCCAGATCCTCCGGAATATCCGTCGCGTCATTAACGGTAATTTATGCAAAATGTGAAATTTCTGCTCCATGCTGTCCAAACGTGTTTTACCCTTCGTTAAAATTTAAACGCGCCTTTTCTTACAAATCGGGACAGGATGCGAAATAACGCATGTACGTAATTAAAGTTTGGTAATCAATTTATAATTATCATACAACACGCAAGAGGGTTAATGAAGATCGTATGACGAGGCTGATTCGAGGGTTGAACATAATAATTCCGACGAAATACCTGGACCACTTATAAATGACCGACAAAACGGACAAGGTAGATCGCACACGAAAGAAAGATATCGAGGGTCGTGCTTTTCAAGACGCGCTGAATTAATCGTTTAGAGAATTAACGCAGATTGCGAGGAATTTCGGCGGAGGAAGCGGTCGCGGGCCAACCTTTCCACTTTCAAGAGTCCCGCCATTTTTATAAAAGCGGCACACCTTGAAGAGGGTGAAGGGTACCGCTCGAAAATCCCGAACGATTTCTCCGCGTCTCTGCGAACCTTTTCAGAACAGATGATTTACCACAAATATTTCCGACCAGAAAATTTCGTACAACATAATCGCGTTAACACTTGTATAAAATTATAACTTTTATAATAGAACTTCTTTCGTTTCGGTAAATAATTTACCATTGCGATTAAAGATCTTGGAGATAATTATTGCCAGGACAGATTAGAATGACTGTTCGCGAAACAGAGACACGAAGAAACTTTTCTCGGAAAGTTTCCACCGGATACGGAAGTTGTTCGCAATTCATCATTGTTCTTGCCAGCCGACTTTCTTTCCCACCGAGGCGTCCCTTCGATTTCTTTCGATACGCGACGTGTCGTCGAGGCATCGTCGTAAATTCGAAAACGCGTGAAACGCTTCTTCGAGGATCGTGGCACACGCTGAATCGACCGGTAAAAACGGAAAAGACGGCTCTTGTAAATCCTCCTTCAACTTCGACGACGAATAACAGCCTCTTCTTCTACGGAGAGGAAGAGTTTCGTGATCTCTATTGGTTTGGAAGAACCGAAGATGTCTCTGATAGATTACGTCTTCTCGCTATTTCCGAACTGTGGAAATCAATTTTATATTTTCGCGATTTTCAGAGAAACTTTGTCGGCTGAATTTTACTTTCAGTATTTATAGATTGTTATAAAATACAAGCTATTTATAAAAGCATGGAACTTTAAGCAATTACTTATACATTGGTACAAGAGAAATTTTATTTGGTTTCAACCCCTTGCACGGTTTTGATGAATCTCGTGACGCGCTTGTACTTTAATCATGATTTTACTCGAATTTTAAATAAGCTTTAATTTGGAGTTCAAGTTCAGTTGCATAGTCAATGATTGATACCAAGTTGACATAACATTTCAACTTTCTTTGTCTGCTTTAAAATTGTCCTATGATTAGTTAGTTCTGACTGACGCACCTGATAAAAAAATTATAGCGCAAGGGTTTAAGTAATTCTTTTGAATTCGCAAATTAATTTGACAGTTTACGTCATATTGTCTGTGATGAAACATAGTACTAAGAAACGTAGTAATAATAAACTTAAGATAGATTTTGATAGATTCGCATTTGAAGAAAGTTTGATCGTTGTTTTCCACAGGGTAGAAATTTGACAGTATCGCAGCCAGAATTGTACGAGCAAAAACAAACGACAAATTTCCTAAAAGCGACGCGTTTGGCCTCGATGGCACTCGAAAACACGGAAATGACGAGGGTTTTGGGAGGGATCGGGGGTTTCGGGGCAGGCGAGGGCGCGATCGGTCAAAGCGGGCGACCGGAAACGCGCGAAGAGTGGTCGGTGACAAACGGCGCCGCGTATCGTGAACACCGAATAAAACAAATGAGAGCGGAACAAAGCTGACAGAGGCCGGCGAGCGGAACGAACAACGCGGAATTCGAGGGTGAAAGTGGGCGAGGCCTCCGGCTAAGGGGTAGTTCGGCTAATGCGCGATGATTAAACTAACGGCTACCACCAATCACTCTGCCACGAAAACCCTCTGATCTTCTCTAACCTGCTAGTTCGGAAACGACGTTCCACCATCCTTCGGATCTTCGCTTTCTTTCTTGCCTCCCTTTTATTCGCGTTTTTCTCGCCGTTCTTGACACACTTTTTTCCAAAAAAATCACCCTCTTGATGAATGGCCGAACCACGAATTCGCTGGTTTTCGGAGGAAGAAATAAAGTGGATGTTTAATAACGAAATTTATTAATTCTTCAGGTTTTTGAACTTTTTGAGGTTAGGAAGAAGTTCAATCTTTTTATGCAATATAAACTGTATTTGTTTTAAATTAATACAAAATACGTATGAAGGTTTTCAGAAGAACTGATATGATGTATTGTTGAACTTAAAAATGATTATCTACACATAAAATCATTTATTGTTGAACTTAATATAGAGCTAACACGTGTCAATATTCATGAACAGGTTAAAGCTGTAATATTTACAAAAATATACCAATTTACAGATTTTTGAGGTTTAACATTTGATTTCATTTTGGAGCTAACAACAAAATCTTTAGCTCGAACGACATTTAAATACATCAAAAAAGTATTCAATTATAAAATTGATTATCTTAAAAGTAACAAAATAAACCTAATTAATCTGCAAAAGCAAAATTTTCTCGATTGTCGGATAATTAACAGGAACAGCAAATAAGAGACATAAATAAACGAATTTCACATCTACAAGTGGTAAATAGCTTGTTAAAGCATCGAACTGAATATATCTGGAAAATATTTTTGTCCATATTCCGATTTGTTTGCGCGACGGATTTACTTTCGTTTGTTCAAGTACTCCGCGAAACCGTGCGCCGATTTCAACCGACGGAATATATCGTTTTTATTAAGTAAACAATTGCGTTGCCCTGACACCATAGGTCAAAATTATGCGATCAGTTTATTCAATATTATACTTTGTCATTTGCGAAACGCGGTTTCAACGAATATAATTTTCCAAATAAATCGGCAGATATAAATTTTAACCTGAAAAACTAGTGATAATGTGCATGAACACTTTTATATCTTTAATTAATCTATTATTAACCTCAATATTTCCTTAACCTTAACATTCAAAGTTAATAATTTCAAGGTTCATATTTAAGGTTCACGTACATTTCTGCTACGAGAAACGTATGAGTGTTTTAACGATAGTAAGGTTGTAAAATTAATAAGATCTGTAAAAATTTATAAATTGAGAATGTATTGGACTATTTAGTAGATGTATGATTTAAAATGACAGTCATTCACAGGTGTTACAATTATATTTTTTGTTAAGTATCTAAGAAAAGTCAGATTATTGTTCACTCCAAGACAGAATACAAAAAAAAAAATATACTGATCGAATTGAGTAACCTCCTCCTTTTTCGAAGTCGGTTAAAAAATACATTGAGTACAAAGCTGTCTTATAGGTTAAATTTTGAAAAGGTACACGTGAGACTTTAACTGACGTTGTATCTGGGGGAAACAAGTATTAAAGCTGGAACAGCAACCGCAAACGAAGCGGCAATTTAGAAGGAAGAAAAATGACAAAAGTGCTGTTGTTTCGGTACTTAAAAGACCCTTCGATAAAAAGAAGATATCACGACGTTAGAAAACGTTCTTAATGCTGGTTGAACGAGCGAACACCCGTTACGGTAACGTGCTCGAAACAGCAGGCATCGTTCCCTGCCAGCGAAACGGACGGGAAAATAGAGGAAAAAAATATTTCCATAGAAAAATACGTTGAGAGCATGCGAGAGGAGAGAATATTCTGTGTGTAGAGGTATCTCTCGGGCCGTGTCGAAGCTCGCGAAGTGGCGCATCCAACGTGGCAGCGATGAAAAGGGTGGCAGGGATGAAAAGGGCGCGCGGGGTGGTTCTCCGGGCAAGACGAAGCGGGCTGCTCTCGGTTCGCTCGCTCGCGTCCCAGCGCGCAACAAAAGCGTGATAAATCGAGTACATTAATTCGCATTTTACCTTTGTTTGCGTTATGGAATACAATTTTAAATGGAATGGGCGCACAATAGATAATGTTGGGCGCCATCATTTACTCGACAGTGCTGCGTGGACGGCGGAGAAAGAGAGACACGTTGCTTAGGGAGTTGGCCGGAATTGTTCGCCATCATCCTCGCCGAGAATCCGCACGAGTGGCTCCCTCACCCAAATTCTCCTGATCGCCGTTTCACCACGACCCACTGCCATTAATCTCGAACCTGCTCAGAACTTGCTACCTTTTGCTTCGTTCCGAGCATTTTACTTACTGTTCGATGTCGAACATAACCTCTAAATTAACACCCTCTCTTCACTTCTTCATTTTTACACAACTAAAGAGGGAAAACTTATGTGTGGTTACTTGTTACTTTGTTATTAATATTAGAGGGAAGATGAACATGTGCAGTATGACTTGTTATAATAATATTAATATTGCAATTATAACATGTACTATACAATGTTTATCCCATGATTATAATTAAGCTGTAACTATAACATATTATAATCACATGTTGTACCGTGTATGTTCATTTAAAATTATCCTTATGATGATGAGAGCTATCTTGCCAAAAGAATTTAAGTTTTCTGAAATTTTATTGTACTGCAAAATTGTACTGGAACCTCCTAGCAAAAAGAGCTGACAATCACTGCTCCAAATAGCTGTCATGATAGCTAGCTCTAGAGCCACCAATTCAAAGAATACGTGAACTGATCCAAAAGATATGTAAGCAGTGCAAATATGGATGTAAAAAAGTGCTTATAACTGAGACAGTCGGTTCCATTTACCAAGTGAATTAAAAACGAAGAAAGATTGAGAGATACGAATGTGGCATGAGGTTGAGAAACAAACAATACGATGATGCGTCGAAGAAGTTAGCGCGAGATCTTTAATCGAAATGGCAGCGAGCAACGTTTCCGCTCGATGCCCCGGAACTTAAGGTCCATGGAAGTTGGTAGCTGCAAATGGTGTTGGCAGGCCTGGGTGACGCATGGATTCGATTCCTGTGAGCTCGTGATTCCGCTCGGTTAGCCCCGCGTCACTCCCAGCGAACCCCATTACCCTCATCCAACCCCGCCGCTGCTCGTCGTCGCCGTTGCTCTTCCATTTCGCTCGCTGCGCTGTCGTGGAATCTGGACGGGGCCGTGTAGCTTACCTACGTCTGTGTGCATATGTACAGTTCGGCGCAATGTGGCTTTCCTTTGGATACGGACTTCTGTGAGGACTGGGGGAATGTGGAAAAAGTTTCAAATCTCCGAATATTACATTTCCCAAATTCTCAATTTTTCGAAGTTTCGAAAGTGTAAATTCTCTGTTCTCCAAATTCCCAAATTTCCAGATTCTCGATTTCTTAATTTCTCAAATTTCCAAATTCTCGATTTCTTAATTTCTCAAATTTTCAAATTCTCAATTTTCCAATTTCTCAAATTTCCAAATTCTCAATTCCCTAATTTCCCAAATTTCCAAATTCTCAGTTCCCCAATTTCTCAAATTTCCAAATTCTCAATTCCCTAATTTCCCAAATTTCCAAATTCTCAGTTCCCCAATTTCTCAAATTTCCAAATTCTCAATTCCCTAATTTCCCAAATTTCCAAATTCTCAGTTCCCCAATTTCTCAAATTTCCAAATTCTCAATTCCCTAATTTCCCAAATTTCCAAATTCTCAGTTCCCCAATTTCTCAAATTTCCAAATTCTCAATTCCCTAATTTCCCAAATTTCCAAATTCTCAGTTCCCCAATTTCTCAAATTTCCAAATTCTCAATTCCCTAATTTCCCAAATTTCCAAATTCTCAGTTCCCCAATTTCTCAAATTTCCAAATTCTCAATTCCCCAATTTCCCAAATTTCCAAATTCTCAATTTCCCAAATTTCCAAATTCTCAATTTCCCAAATTTCCAAATTCTCAATTCCCTAATTTCCCAAATTTCCAAACTCTCAATCCCCCAATTTCCCAAATTTCCAAACTCTCAATTCTCCAATTTCCCAAATTTCCAAACTCTCAATTCCCCAATTTCCCAAATTTCCAAACTCTCAATTTCCCAATTTCCCAAATTTCCAAACTCTCAACTCCCCAATTTCTAAAACTTCCAAATTCTCAATTCCCCAATTTTCCAAATTTCCAAATTCTCAATTCCCTAATTTCCCAAATTTCCAAATTCTCAGTTCCCCAATTTCTCAAATTTCCAAACTCTCAATTCCCCAATTTCTCAAATTTCCAAATTCTCAAATCCCCAAACCTTTCAAATTCCAAAGCACGACCATTACCGTCATACGCATTCGAAACCCTTTGGCCCCAGGATCCAAAAATTATTATCAACACGAATCACCTACCTATCACAGTCATACTGACCTATCACAATCAGTTAAAGTTAGGTACGTAGATTGCCTGAGCTAACGTGACGATAATCTCAACGATAAAGGTCCAATCGGTTCCCTTCATTTAATCTCGCCGAATCAATGTCTTGAAAGTTTGTAAGACTCGAGGACAAGCAAGATCGCACGCAAGATCTCCATTTTCATGGCAAAGATGGCCGTTGGTGAACCTCGCCGCACGAACGAATAAACTCAACTTTCGAGAGCTATCGATTATCAGCGTGTTCCCTTCTGTGCCGTTCAGGATCCGCTTCGCTCCTCTTCCGGTGCCACCCCTGCCGACATTCATTAGCTCCGGCTATGGCGAAGTAATTTAATTTGTTGCAGGATTTGTGGAATGTTAATGAAAACAGGACAGGCATCCCCGTATCAATTTCTGATTAAAGTTGGAACGGCTGGCTTGTTGGTTGTGGGATGCTAGTTCTATTCGATTTACCCCTTTCTTCCACTCCCGTTCCTGCGAATCGTTTACTCCAGCTATTGTACAAATATTTAATCAACACGCTGTTACACGAGTCACTAATATATTACTTTTGTCACGAGCTAAAAATTAAATTCAATTTTAAAATATATGGTCGATTGTCCATAGAAATACTGTAGGATTGGTAGTCCAATGCTTGTTAGATTGCAAGGTGTATTTAATTTATTCTTATTAATTTTTTACGGGAAAGTTTTATAAGAGACACTTGAGCTTCTAAAACTGTTGCAATTCTACCTTATAGTTTTTGGGAATAACTCTGCCAATAATGATATACTATTTTAAAGTTTTTAGAATTTGGAAGGTAGTGGTATTGAGAGACGAAGACTCAGTAGAAATTCTTGAATATTACTAGAACTAAGGAAGGTGTTATAACAAGCTCAATATGTATAATCGTGTGCAGAAAATGACACAAGATTACTTATCTTAACTAAACAACGTTAGCCTAGAACCACATCCAAATTTAGTCATAAGTCCAATTTCTGACCCTACTTAAAATTCAGTTTTTCGTGACCTGTTCGATGACTATAAAAGAGAATAATCGAGCAAGTGACACATCGTTGTTGACACTCGTACACCATGGCCAGAGGTGTTAATAATCGAAACGAAATTCGCGTTTGCAATTTACAGCGGTGCCGAGGAAGTTCATCAACGGCTGTAGTCGCATTCGCAACGATGTCCGGTGGACAGAAGGGTAGAGAGATATCGGTTTGCACGTCGATGCTCGGCTCCAGCGAGCGTGAACCGGGTATGGTCGAACCGATGCCGAATGTTTGGAGAGGGTGGAAGCCACCCCTCATCCCGCCCCGGTAATGGAATACCTTCGTTGGAGGAACGCAATCACGCTGATGTTTCGGAACCCCAAGGCTGCCACGAGGGATTTCCACGCTCATGAGCAGATCAGCCTTTGCGCGTTGCTGCTCTTCTGTCTCTCGGCTCCGTCCACTCTCGTTTCTCCAATTTCTCTTTTCTCTTCCCTTCGCTCGGCAGCTGTCAATCAACGATATCGCGCGGACGAAATTCTTTTTTCCGCCAGGCTCGTTTGCTACCGATCCCATGTCGCGTACCCGGTTCATTCGTTGTTTCGAACTTAACGAGCTACAGCTATCAGCGTAACGTTTCGTATCGCAAATTCGATTTTAGTTTGTACTGAAAGTTATGAGAATTTTATCTGATTAAATCATGTATGCAGGGTATCGAAATTATGACTAATTGAAGATTTTTATAATGAAGTGTCCTTTAAGTGTCCTTTATGAAGTAAAGTGCAATTATTTATCGGATGATTTATAATGAAGTTTCAAATAAAAGACGATTCATTTCTCCCGTCATCAGTTGATGCAATCATCCACGTCATTGCAAAACTACTGGTAATACCGCAGTTAATTAGTTTAGCTATGTCATTGCGCCTTTCATCATCGTTCAGAAATCCCCGATCGATTAAGACACCAATCCATATTGCGCTCGAAAGTAATCGTAGGAAGCCACATATCTAATGAAGCAACTGCTCTAACTTAAAGTTTCAGCGCGTGACATTTTCACGGTGGAATTAATTAACGCGATTCCGTTTCAGCGGCGAAAGAATCCCGGTAAGCCCAGCTTTCAGCGTGGTAACCCGCAGGAAACAACAATTTTTCGCGGAGCCACGGTCTTACGAAGGATCTCTCTGCGGCTCCTTTTTTTTTATACATTCCAACGAGCGAGGACGAATTCCGCATTCCGGAAATCGCGAAGCGTTACGCTCGGTCCCGTGGCGGCGCGTCGAAGCTCCCCCGGAGCGAGATAACTCCCCTCCCGGGATGTACCTCGCCTTAGCCATCCCCGGAGATCTTCCCGACTAAGTCCTGGGGCAAACTTATGAATTCTTTCGAAAATCTTGCCGGTGATCCTTCGAAGTTGAGCGGTCGACGGGGATCAAAGAACTTGGCATGGCAGGGGTGGAAAGGGGTGGATCAAGTTGCCTTAGGATGAAGCCGAGAAGAAGAAGAAGACGACGACGACGTCGAAGAAGAACGAGCAGAAAGAAGAGAGGGTTTTCGGTGAGAGGAATCCACGAGAGGGTTGGTAAGGGTGCGGAAGGGGTGGAATCGTGGAGCTTCAGACGACTATGAAAGAGGAACGGGGAGGCAACGAGAGAGCAACGCGGAATACAAAGCAGAGGACGAATGATGGAAGGTGGAGGTTAAGGGCTGTGCAAGGGAATAAGGGTACGTTTTCGCGTGACAGTGAATTGTAACATTTAATGACACGATACTAAATGTCACGGCTTTGTCGTATGACAAAATAGTCGCGTTGTTATGACGCTGCCTCGTACATCACGACTTTAATCTCATGAAGTTGAACCATTTTCGATCTTGCGATGTTTTAACGAGTCACATGTGCATTGTGCCGGTGTGCAATTACTTCTTCTCAAAACGGAAGACATGTTTGTCAGACATTATTACTATTTTTATTTTCGGCACCAACATTAAGATACATTTTATGTCTGCATTCTTCTTGAGACATTCTGTAGACTTGACCATACTTGATAATGAATAGGACATGTAATAAAAGCTTATGAAACAAATTGTTTTACCTAATGTATATTTTCTTCGTTTCATCTCCTGTTTAAAAAAGTTGAGAGTAAATGTAACTATAATTTGGCGCCATTAATGAGATGTTCCGAAAAAATAGGTTCGAACGACGATGACCAAGAGCGAACTAATGTCACCTGAGGACTAAGAAGGGAACGGCGAGAAGAGGGTATCAAAAAAAGGATCCCCTGCCGTCTATTCAAACCACGCATGATTCATTGCCATGGATAATCTGTAAATGTATTTATTTTGATTCTGTACACAACGCGGTTTTATTTGGTGGCTTGAACGGCCACGACCGAGCACCCTCTTCTTCGGTCGACTTTTTGGAATCAACCGTCCGACCCGATCGCGTCTAGTTTGGGGATTATAAACGAGCCCGGCACATGTTTCCAGAGGTAAACCAGAAAAATGACTGTCCACCACGCGCTTCTGTCGTTTTATCGCGCGCCGGATTCCGCTTACCGAACGGCTACATACGTATATAACCACGTACCTACAGTACGTTCGTGAAAGAATGTGGGGACATTTTTAACCGGGGACCGCCTGCCCGTAGGGGAAGACGTCCTCGGACACGATACGAATAATTTCCGAGCTAAAACTCGTTAACGGGTCTACGGTTCTAACGTTCACGCAGCGTCGGATACGTCAGGGAACGATGACGCCTCGATGACGAAACCTTGCGTCGTAAACGTACGCGTCATGCAAGCGTATGGAATATTTGAGGTTTCGAGAATTTGAAGATGAGAAGCTTGGTGATGCAGGAATTTGGAGTTAGGAGTTTGGGAATCTACGATTGGAAACTTAGGAATTTGGATATCTGAGAATTTAGGGAGAGCGGTATCAAGGATTCAAGATCTATGGGTTTGGGGATCAGCAGGTATGGAAATGTAGAGATTTGGAGACATACGACTTTGGGGATCTACATAGGGGTTTAGAGATTATAGGATTTTGGGACCCGGGGATCTAAGGTTATGGAAATGTAGGGATTTGGGATTCATCCAGATTGGTATTTGGGGTGCTGTACATTTTAGAACTGTTAGATTTGGAGATTTTCCGAAATTTATGAACCCAGCTAGGTATTTAGGAACATAGGTTTGAACACCTAATTTTACCTATCTTTGCTGCAGCAAAGTGATCATTCGAAACAAAGTTACCCTAACCTGAGCAAAGTAACCGCCACAGAAGATGCATCACTGTCAAAGGATTAAAGAACCTTGGGAATCTCTGTATTTTGAGGGTTGCAAGAAAATCTGAGGGCCACTGGAACAAACAAGTGTGACACATCGAAGAAAAGCAAACGGTAGCTCGGATTCCCATAATCCCATCGAAGCCCTTCGTTCCAGTAACTCGTAATATCAATGATCGAGGTAGAGAGGGTCCCGATGGAAGAATCCTCGGATCATTGATATCGTTGGAAGAAATGGGCCGAGTATCGGTGACGCTCGGACACGAGTCTCGAAGTTTGGCAGAAACGCGAGGGAAGGTCGAGCCGAGGACGAGGGGTGGCACGGGAACGAAGACCACGAGGGAATAGTGGATAGAAGGAGACAGATGGCGATAGAAGGAGAGAAGGGAAAGGAGAGGAACCGGTGGGCCAAAGGAGAGACGAGAGGAACGTAGTCCGCCATATCAGTCTTGCTTGCGCCGACAGTTCGTCATTTGTCACTGTCGCGGCCATTAATAACTCCGCCATCCTGTCACTGTGGATAATACGAGTAGGTCTCCGCGCTCGGGTTGTTGTAGCTGCTCGCCCCGGTAGGGGTGGTGTTCCGTTCAATTCAGTTCGGTTTAAGGGCTCCCTACTACGGATTGGAAGAACATGCCTTTCAGGGGATGTGTCGTTTCTTCTGGGACATGGCGATCTCGTCGACCATCTTGAAGGCTGTCGAATTTTTCTCTTCGTACACCTGGGTTACCTACATCAACGCATTGGCAGTTCCACTTCTTGGAAGGCTTTGTTACATGTGGTTAGACTCTGTCTTCATCACATTTGCTTATTAATTTTGTCGTATACATTCAACTATGTTCGCAAACTGACTCTTCAAAGAACTCAAACTTCTGACTTTCTGGACTCAGAAATTTTGAGATGAGTAATCTTCAATCAAGAGACAGATCTTCAAATTCTGCATTTCATACTTTTAACTTCACAAGCTTCTACATGTCTAAGTTACAAAATATCTATGTTCTCCACTATGTCTCTGAATTCTGCATCAAATTACTTAGATTTACAGATATCTAAATTCCTACATTCCCAAATCCTTATACCCCAAGGTACGCCAAAACGCTCTATCTAAAAATCCTTAGGCCGCCAAATCCCTGAATTCCCTTATCTCTACATCCCCAACTAAAGTCTCCCCAATTCTGAACCTATTCTAAAATATGGAAATCTTCGAAAGTCCCCAAAATCAGATCAAATGCAGAAGGCTTCCTCACCATTTTCTCTAGAAATGCCAAATTCATCTGAATATGTATGTACACGATCGAGTGGAGCGATTAAAACAAGACGGAGAAAAGCAAATAGGTGGATAGGCAAAACGGTGGCAGCGCGAAAAAAAATTTTCGCGAAAACCCTTTCATCACACTTGCCCGCCAAACTGTCTCGCTGGAGTTTTTATTGTGTCCGAATTGCGAGAGCTACGGGGGAGAATTATTGTGAAAGCACCGAACATGTGGACGTTAACACCGCGAGAGCTCGTTTGCCACGCGGACCAAGGGGTTGGAAAGAGGGGTTGGAGGAGGGGTAGGAAACGCGGGCAGCTCGTTGGTATTACGTAAGCGTTGCTCGACGCGAGGCCATTTCAAAAATGGACCAAAAACAACAGAAAAAAAAATGTCGGAAAAAGAGGTTACGTCCCGGGTGCTGGCTGATATGCCAACACGGCTTTTTAATTAGAGCCGGCAGCCCCAGCACCACCTGACATCCCAGCGCCGCAGCGACCCCTTCATCAAAGTACCATTCTCGTTTCGTCGAATTTTTACAAGAATTGCAACGCGTACAATAGCGAAGAAAATATAGCAACTTTGTCGATGAACGTGTAACGATAATCGAACATTTTTAACGTATCAAATTTTTTCGAATATTAATCGGACAATAGTTCAAAAAATTTATTTTTATGCACCATTCC